CCGCTCGCCAAAAATGCCATGCATTCGCCTACTAGTATAATTGGCGAGCGGAAGCGAGTTAACCTAGTGGTCCGAACGGCGCGATTTTTCTATATATATAATATATGTCACCGTACGTCGTCCAACTGCGCATGCTCCAGCATTACACGCTTCTTTTTACCCGAAAGGGATTTCAAAATTTTCATATGTTGCCTGAATCGATAGGAAACGCAACACGGCAGGCTCGAACACCTCCGAAGCTATCGAGAATTGCTGCACAGTCCAGCGGGAGATTTTTCTCGATTGCCGGATTATGCCTGATTCGCGCTGTCGTCTGACTGTTTTTGACTCGACTCGAATTGTCTACTGCGCTCGGGTTTACTTGGCCCTGTGCAATGTATCTCACTGTTTTGTGCACACACAAGAGTGACTCATACGATTAGTTGTAAGCTCGCTTCCGCTCGCCAAAAATGCCATGCATTCGCCTACTAGTTGGCGAGCGGAAGCGAGCTAACCTAGTGGTCCGAACGGCGCGATTTTTCTATATAATTATATATATATTAGAGAGTCGGTAGACTCTCTATATAGGGATGACGCGGGTGAAATCTCACGTGATCCGCGTACAAAACGACTAAAAACTCGGTGAGAATCACTCCCTAGGTCTTCAAAGCATACTAGCAATAGTCTACGGGCCCATATCTACCTATACATGTCCCCCAAGAGCTCATACGCACCTTCAGTCGTCCAGGCGACAATTCGCTCATACGCGTTTTCACGATTTTTGTGTCATCATAATTATTCTTCTTCTTCTTCTTCTTTAAACCCGCTATCTCCTTACCAGTACCAGTTCAAGCACTGATTTTTTCACCGAAGGTCTTCAATTTCGTCGGAGGTGTGCACGGACATCAAGCGATCGTTTCTTTCTTGCTGCTAGTCACTAGGGTAAATCATGGAGCTCTTCCATGGTCGACCTGAATAACGCCATTTGCTGCTTACTCAGCATCAGTGAGCCGCGCGCATGCGCCAGGCATGGGCGTTGTCCAATGCGCTAGCGAGCGTATTACCAGGCGAGCGAGTTGGCAGACCTGCAGAGGAACTCTCAGCCTCCAGTACCTTCTGTAAGTAAGTGTGCACATTTCCAACTGGCTGTTGATTTGCACGAAGAGCAACTTGCCAGAGTCTGCGCGGTATTACGCCAGCCTTGCGGGGCACTCAGTCAAATCGGCCTTCATTGTTTGCCTGATTACCAAAGCCTGCCAATGAAACCACAACCATGCAATAATCTAAGTTCATCCTTGTTGAAGACAATACATGAGGTGAATACGGTATCTAGCCCCTGCTTCAGGCACTAGCAGCCCCATTACCTACTACTTTCAACAGTTACAATTTGTCTATGGTAGCCTATCTACAACATAGCTACATCAGAGTGACTGTAACAATATAAATGCAGTGTTGTCATAAGCTGTTAAAAAAGTGGAAACAAGTGGAAAAATCATTTCTTCAAAATGAAAGGGGGATATAGGAATGGCTTAAAGCACCAAAAAGGAAGAAACAAGGGGTCATTACACAGCAAAGTTGCACAAAGCTACATGACACCATCCCTATATCTTTGTTGTTTAACGGCTCTGCAATAGAGGTTTTCTTGCATGTATACTTAGCTCAGGGGAAACTTTGCTTATAAACAATAAAACAAGATATAGGGATGGTGTCATGTAGCTTTGTGCAACTTTGCTGTGTAATGACCCCTTGTTTCTTCCTTTTTGGTGCTTCAAGCCATCCCTATATCCCCCTTTCATTTTGAAGAAATGATTTTTCCACTTGTATATATATATATGTACCCGTCGTTGTCGAGCGTCGCCGAACCGTATATACGTCGTCCCCACCCCTCAGTAGGCTCCACCCCTGATAATTTGTGAGCGTGTGAGGAAAGGGAGAGAGTTATGGATCGGTCTAGAGAAGATGCTCTTCGTTGTCGACGAGAGAGGGAAAGAGAACGTCGTGCCAGTGAGACTCCTGAGCAGAGAGAAGCTCGGCTTTCTAAACGCCGATTGCGTGATCGGGAACGGGCAAGGCAACGCCGGGCAACAGAAACAGCGGAGGAAAGTGAAGCGCGACTAGCAAGAGGTCGTGTACGACCAAGAGGCATGCCTGATTCGCGCTGTCGTCTGACTGTTTTTGCCTCGACTCGAATTGTCTACTGCGCTCGCTCGGTTCTAAAAGGTTGTTTCGGCCTACTTGGTCCTGTGCAATGTGCACACACAAGAGTGACTCATACGTTAGACCCCATTTGTAAGCTCGCTTCCGCTAACCAAAAATGCCATGCATTCGCCTACTAGTTATATATGCGTTCGTACGTCGTGTAAGTGCGCATGCGCGGCTTTGTACGTTCTAAAATTTTACACATTTTCACACACGGTGCCTCGCCGATCGATCTAGCCAGCTAGAGAACTCTCCTCTCCATCGACGGCATGCGCTGTAACCTTGGGTGACTGACCGAGGCTGTAGCTACCTCTTCCCAATCTTCATGGTTCCAAGGTGCAACTTGCAAATAGTATAATACGCTAGGATTGCTCCTGCACATACTGCTGCATGCCAGTTGCCTGGTGGACCACGACACCTGATGAGCTGAAAGCGTAAGGTCGGTATATATACCGTTCTGCTCACCTGCTCACCGTTCTGGCAATAATTATACAGTACGCATGTAACGGCGACAGGTAGATCTGTCTTGCTTCACGAAAGGAAAGCTGTGCGCTGACGGCACGTTATGCAGCCAGAACACCGCGGGCAAATCCCAAGTTGGGTCGCTCCCGCTCGCCAACAATGTTCAACATTTCCACTAGTAATTATATAATATAATTATTATTATAATATATTTTTTGTTTTTGAAAAGCCCGTAAGTATTATCATCAAGTGTCCATAGGGCAATGGGTCACTAGTCTTAATTGTCCCCTTTCACAGAAGTAGTCATATTAGCGAGGTTCCCTTGTTAAGCGAGGGTTACAGTAGTCGTTCTGTCTGTCTGTCCGTCCGCGCGAGTTCTAGCACTACAGGCTATGTGGCGGCCAATGAGTGGCACCAACGGGTTGTGAACGACGAGAAGATTAATACTGGTGGAAATGCTAGGCATTCTTTGGGCGAGCGGAGCGAGAACTCAAAATTACGTATATACAACCATCGTCATTACTAGCTACGTACCTACAGGTAAAATGTTTCAGCAAGTAACATAAGCTATTATGGCGTTGTAATATCAGGTTGAGTAAGCGCATACGTAGCTAGTGAAACTAGACCAGAAGAAAGTAGCAACGGAAAGGTAATGTGCCCGCTCCCCCTCTCCATCTTTTAATCGTCGCTGAAAAGACAAGCCTCTCTGTCGTGAGGACTTTCGACGGCCGGGCCTTCTGTCTGTCTACCTCTGGGACCAGAAGCAGTATCGTTGCCTTGCCCGCTCTCGATCTCGTAATCATCCCTGAAAAATACGAGCCTCTCTGTCGTGAGGACTTTCGACGGCAGGGCATACATAGATAGAAAATTCGAGCCGAAGACACGATTCTCTGTCTGTTTTTCTTCGACGAAGAACACTATTCTCCGCGGATGCCAACTGGACGGAGGACGGAGAAAATATTTCGCACAGTTGTCGTTTAATAAGAAGCGCGTAATATTAACGCATGCGCACTAAGACGACGACGGTATTATAGATAGAAATTCGAGCCGAAGACACGACTAGCTCGCTCCGCTCGCCCAATTAATGTGGCGATTTTCCCGAAACGACTGCGTTCCAGAGATATGGCGTGAAAACAACCGAAAAAGCCAACGCGCGGTCGATCGCGCACGCGCCATCTCCTGCAGGCTAGCTATAGCGCGCACGCGTAATGTCAATTAATCGCCGGAGCATGCGCTTGGTTGTATATGCGATCCACGGCCTCCTGTAAGTTTTGATCTCTGTTCCCTGTGGATAAACGATAAACATGCTGAGCAACGTATGTTCGCAATAGTTCAGGTGGCGAGCAGTTTGTGGTTGCGGCCTTGCCTTCCCATCTATAAAACGTCTGGCGAGAGCATTGAAATACAGAAGAGCAGATAGATTGAATAAAGCAAATATGAGAGCCTCTGAAACACCTGGGCTATTGCTCTAACCGCCAATGCAATGAAAAGCACTAAATTGCAAACCCTCGGCGCTAAACGCGCGAGTTGTAGCATCGCTGTATATGCGATGCTGGGCCGTGCGTCATCGACTGAGCCAGTAACACGAGTCTCGCCGTAACACAGGGTAGCTAGTTGCATTAGCGGTTAGAGAAATGGCTCAGGTGTTTCAGAGGCTCTCGTATTTGCTTTATTCGCTCTTCTGTGTTTCAATGCTCTCGCCAGACGTTTTATAGATGGGAAGACAAAGCCGCAGCCACAAACTGCTCGCCAACTGAACTATTATTATGTTACATTGCGAACATACCTTGCTCAGCATGTTTATCCATTGAAAAAACGAAGAGAACAGAGAACAAAACTGACAGAAGCCCGTGGATCATATAATTATACAACCAAGTGGCGTAGCGCATGCTCCGGCGACATGACGCGTGCGCGATATATAGCCTGCCGGAGAGGGCGCGTGCGCGATCGATCGCACGTTGGCTTTTTCGCTTGTTTTCAAGCCATATCTCTGGAACGCAGTCGTTTCAGGAAAATCGCCACGTTTTTATCCATCTTCTCATTGTTCACAACCCGTTGGTGCCACTGATTGGCCGCCTCGTAGCCTGTAGTGCGAGAACTCGCGCGGACAGACAGACAGACGGACAGAACGACTACTGTAACCCTCGCTGCGCATGCGCGCCGAGGGTTAACTGTTACGGTGAAACTCGTGTTACTGGCTCTGTCGATTACGCACGGCCCAGCATACAGCGATGCTACAACTCGCTAGTTTACCGCCGAGGGTTTGCACTTTAGTGCTTTTCATTAATGAGCGCATCATGAGTATGTACCCCACAGAGACATCAGTGCTTTTTTTAAACATCGTACATAACTGAAAGTAGTATTGTACAAGAACAGAGAGACAGGCAGCGAATTAACACACTAGAGTCACAGGTCACAGTTACATTGATTCTAGACACGAATGGACTCCTGTCTTTGAAACTGATCTCTTCCTATTCGAATGCTGGAGATGATCTTGTTCTGATGACCAGCCAGTGAGATTCCCATCCTGTGTGTGGTAGAAAGGCTGACAGTAATCTGCCACATACAATGAGGTATATACAGCTTGCAAGGCAATGGCATAGCACACGTAAACTACGTACATCTAAGACACCATAGAAAAATCTAGTCTATTGGGGCAACTCAGGTGGTAAGTAAGTGTTCGAATTTGTGCAAACGTGTTTCTAGCTGCTCGTCTGCGGTGTTCACCTGCTCTAGTAACATGTTAACAAGGCAGACCTCAACATTAAGTGTAGAAATTAGTAATTACGACTTCTACAAGGTTTAAAGCTATATATCACTCAAGCCTACTTGGTGAGGTCGTCAGCAGTAAGCTCGAGGCAGCTGGTAACGGTGGTGTGACCAGACTCCAGGAATTTGTCCGTGTACTTCTGCATCTTGATGCTGGTGAGCCACTCCTCCACACTCTGGTACTCCAGAGGACTCACCACCTCACGACTCCTCGTGGACGCCGGCTTGACTCCAGCTCGAGGCTTCGGCTTCGGCCTGTAATAATGATATGACATATTATATACAGGACTTCAGCTGACTCTGAGGGTCTTCTTACTGCAACTGCGCAGAGGACAGCGGAGGAGGGAGGTGACAGGGTGATTACCTTTTTGCCCACATGAACATTTACTTACACAACTATGACGGAACCAAGGATACACTAAGTGCTGACGAACAAAAAATAGCCCTAGCCATGACTCGTCTGGTTATAGCTGTGTCCCCAGACTCTCCCTCTCAATGCAAAGACTCAACATACGTACGACAGTTTAGCCCCGGACTAACAAAAACTGTGCGCTGAGCTGGGAGCTGGGGCTATATAGAGATGTACGGTAGCAAGCTGGGTTCAGACACAGGCTCTTGGCTAGTAGTGGGCTTGCCTACACCAATCACATTGTGCCAAGCATTATGACTGTGTTTTAATGCATATAATTAAGCGGAATGTACCTTTCATTAACAGCTTAAATTCTTGCCATGCAATGCTCGTTATTACCCCTGTTAAGTACAGAGTTAATGTGGAAAGGAATGAGTCCTTGTCAACAGACACAGTACATTCATACGTACCCCTCAGCGATGTTTCCCTCCAGGAGTATCTCCAGTATTCTCACCACCAGCCCAAACGTTGGTCTCTTCCTGGCCTCTGCGTTCCAGCACTCCAGCATACACTGCAGTGGGCCACACTGCAGTGGGCCACACTCAGGTGTCTAGATTTGTACTGGGCAGGCAGGTACAATGTCTCTACTCCTTCACATGCACCATGAGTATGCATGAGGAAAGGTTGCGTCCATAACCCACTGTCCAAGATATCTATTAGTACCAGACCATCTGATACAGTATGCAGGTTCACTCTCAGCTCAGACCTTTCTTTACCCTCTCCTCAAGAACACGAGGGGTGCTTATGTAATACAGCATAACTGTGTCACGTAAAGTGGTCCGTAGACCAGATGCTAGTATGCAGGTGTCTTGATTTTCAAAGGATTAAATGGTGTGCATATGTACGTATGTGTATGCACTATTATTATATTCATTGGTCACATTACCATTAGATTACCTTTGGTTTGTGAAGTCGATGACCATTATCCAGCTTACTCAGAACCTGCAGATAGACACACACACACAGGGTTTAGGGTTCATGTGGCTAGAGATGCACAAACGTAGCCAAGTCCCTTCTGGGTCCAGTTGGAATAGCACATGTAGAAAATACCATATGATGCCAAGAGAAAAAAGATGTGGAGCTCTGCTGTTTCGGGCTGCATGACTAAATCTCTACACAAAACCACATTCATTGACAACAGTATTGTAATACGACAACTATTTTATATACCTCGAAACAGGTATTTTGTATTTGAGTTGTAACCGTTTCCACACCATCCAATAACTTCCCAGAGGTTTGCACCTCAGCCTATGGTAAGTAATAGCTGATAGGTTTACCTAGACAACGACAAATTTATCTTTACCTAAACTAAAGATACAACCCTAGGATGCTATAGCAGTTGGCCGAACACGTCGATGACTCCCTCTTTAGCTGATGATGGGATATACGGATCCCATGAACAAAGTATATACAGAAAACATACTGTGGCTCGATTATTGGTATATATCCCTCGTAAAGTAACATCTTCACGAGAGAGGGGTCCCACGACTACGGACACGGCAGTTTCCATTGCTAAATTCAAAATGAGCATGCAAAATCGTTGCGTCTGCCCATGCGCATTCAATCTCTGCGCAGTATGGAAGGATATGGAAGAATGGAAGGGTAGTAGTAGGATGGAAGAATGGCAGGATGGAAGAATGGAAGTTCGTGTATAACGGAAGTATGGTTGCCGCGCCCGCGCTGCTAGACGCCCAACAAAATACTTAGCTAGCTAGCTATACAGGCAAGGAGAGCGCAGTGATGGTGTTTTATGAACGAATTTTTCCTGGTCTTGTGGCGTTGGCGGTGCTGTTGATCAGCCATGCAGGCTGTGTCCAGGACCAAGCTCCAGGAGATGGTGTAGCGATATGTACTGATGAGATCGTTAATGGAATGCCGAATCCTTACTTTGCCGACCGCCCAATGTACTCTGTCAATGAACGACCTCTGATGGACTCCAGAGACTATAACCGCCTGCTTCTGGAAACTGGCGAAGCGTATGTACCGTGGCAAAGCCTGGATAAGGACAATAACAATACTAACGATGTTATAACTGAGGTAAGGACAATAGCTATATATAGCTACTAAACATAACTTAATTGCTCTCCAGTGGACTCAAACTGGATCAGCCACATGTGCTGGGGTAGTGACAGTGTGTGGATTCAGTGTTGGAGCTCAAGAGAACTGGCTCATCACACAGCACATCAACACAGTGCTACCAGGAGGAGAAGGAGAGAGACTGAGGAAAGTGACTGTTCAGTTTGAGGGAACTCTCAATAGATGTGATATCAGTAGACAGTGCAGACAGAGTTTTGAACTGTACAAGTGGGAGACTTCAGCCATTGATAGAAATGGAGCAACTAACACCAACAATTACGTCAGAGTTGGTCGAGTCTCTCCTGCTGTTACTAGTGGAGTAATGTCCTTTGTTGACTATCATGATATTGAATTAGGCACCGCAGGTGGTTATTACTTGGGAGTTGTTGACTTGAGCACTTGTGTTACTCTCACAAGAATTCTAGTTCTCTACTATGTGTGTCCAGAGGAGACATCAGAACTCATCTCAAGACCTGAGGCAATTGAATCCCAGTCTCTGGTAGGCTCGCCTTCAGTGGAGGGAGAGTGTGTAGAAAACAGTTCCACAGGTGGTGGAGTCAATCCTATTCTCATATGTAGTGCTAGGGGACAGTGGCATGTGATAAAACCTTGTCTCTGTAATCCTGGATATCAGCTAAACAGTAGTCAGGATAAGTGCTCAGGTATGTCAAAAGGCTGTGAAGAGGTTGTGCCAACTCTGTGAATGTAATGTTCTTTTACAGAGTGTCCAGAAGGAACCTTCTCATCAGGACTGGGTAATGGACCATGTGAAACATGTCCAGCTAACAGTGAGGGGACTGGAACTGGTCTGAGCCTCTGTCCATGTCTCCAGGACTACTGCAGAGCTCCTTATGAGGGGCCATCCATCCTTTGTACACGTGAGTGTTGACATGTGTCCTACTAACTAGAGAAAACTTACTGGTAAAATATGTAAAGGAGTTTTCTGTATACACGTAATGTGCTGTATACTAGTAATCACATCCTGCATATTTCTGCTATACTACAATCTTATTCTTTCAAACTTACTCTTATAGTGGCATGGATAGTGCTAGCTGTATACTGTTTTTGCAGAGTCTCCAGGACGTCCATCTGATGTCAGAGTGTCAAATGTGACCAACACATCAGCCATCCTCTCCTGGTCTCCTCCTGATAATGGTGGAGGGAGACCTCTCTATGAGATAGTCTTCACTGTCACTGCCACTGGTGAGGATTCCTTCATTATTTGCAGTATGCATTTACAATGGACTTAAAGCTGCCTGTCCATCCAACATGTTAAGTGTTAGCTACTCTGACCAAAATCTAATAATTATTGCATGCCATGTTTAATTATAGCTTGTTCTGAGTTGCGTATCCTACGCCTTATGCATTTCCTATTTACTTGCCACAAATTCTACTTTGAATATCCTACATGTTTTCCTGAAGTGTTAAAGACAGGTATATCTGCTCTGTAAAACCCTATGTGACTGCCATTATGCACTGTATAGACATAAAAGGAAGTGGAGGAGAGAGAGTGGTGGTGAGTGAGGTGAATGATACAGAGACCATTGTGACTGGACTGACTCCTGGTGTCCTCTACACATTCTCTGTATCTGCTGAGAATGATGTCTCCTCTCAGGACAACAATATCAATGCCAGGAGTCTCAGTACCACTGCCAACACTCAGGAAGGAGGTCAGTCTATTGTAAACCACATAGGTGGAGGAAGTGCCTATATATAAGCTTTCCTATGCATATTCAACAGCTATAAGAATATCCTTACTGTTATTGTCACAATCTGTACGATAAAAGCTGAACCACTAATGTTGAAGTGCCTTGGGAATGGCGCTCATAGTGGTCATACTCCTGGATAAAATTATTGTGTAGTACTTGTGCTGTTATGCATTCCATGTCCCATGTGTTAGCGTTTTCTGTTCGTTGTTTTTCCAAGCTGCAAAATGTATGTTGTTGTGTGCTTTTGACCTGTTGAACAATTCAGTATGATGTCAAAGCTAACATACCCTACAGCCTGTATGATGTATGATGTCAAAGGCTACATTCTCTACCTCCCTTGGATTGTTGCAGAGCGCATTAGCGCTAGGCAACTACTCCGGGTTGTATTGCGATATGCGTACGTACGTCGTCAATCAGTCACGCTTAGGAATGTCAATTAGTCACCAAAAGGAAGTGTAACTTCCGTCATGCGTAGGAAGTCTAG